TAAGGCTGGCGACAGCAGATTTGAGGTTGGAGAGCTTATCGGTATCAACGGGAGAGAGAGTAGCAGTAGCCATAGCTAAGATTGTGTGATCTACGCTGAGAGAGAAAGTGAAAGTTCTCGAAGAGTGTGAATAAGAAGAAAATATACAGAGATAAATAGTGTGTGAAGAGTGAGTGGGAAGAGAGAGGTGTATTTATACGGTGGTGAGAGCCAAAACAGGTGGCACGTAATGAGAGCAAACGTCAAAGGGCAAGAAGAGTAAAAAATTTACGTCAAAATTATGAATTAGTTTATCGTAATTAAGTAATAAACTGAGATAAAAATATATATTAACATTATACTCTAATAATAATAATAATGTATATATAGATATATGTTTCTGTTCATTAAATTGATGTCAATATTGAATGCAATAAGTTTTTATCCAAAAAAGATCAATGAAATTGTAAGACCATAATGGTGAAACTTCGTGACGGACCCAGGATTTTGTGCAAGCGGGTTCAATCTTAAAAGTATATAACTTTAGTCGTAAAATAGTAGTTGTCAAGTGGGTTCAAAGAAATAGTTATACAAAATTTACACAACTTTAATCCTAATTTATACATATACACAGTATTATTTTTTTGTGAAGCGGGTTCAGTTGAACCCGCTAGCCACCACTTGGGTCCGCCACTGGTGAAACTGTATACCATCATTGTACAACAATACAACAATAATAAGCCTAGTAAAATTTTACAAGTGGAGTCTGGGAAGAATAAAATGTATGCGGACTTTATCTCTAACTAATGAAGATAGAGATGTTATTTTCGAAAGACTATCGGCTCAGAAGAAGTAAAAATAAAGCAATAAACAAACAGTAGCAACAACTAGATAATTAGACATGGGCACAAATGTATACGATCAATGTACATATAATGTAATTGTTAATCTGAATTAGTATTTGATTTTGTACATATAATATAAATGTAATATGAAGAAAGCTTGTAAATAAGATATTTTAAATTAAAATTCTTTTGTAAGTTTATATTTTCGGGGTGAGGGAAATGGAGTTTGGTAAGAATATGCGCAGGAATAAACTCGCTTGGTCAGGAATTTTCAAGGGTAGCTGGGTAGGACATGTGATCGTGTTTGTAACGGAGATCTGGAGATTTTATGATGAAGATGTAATGCATTAGTATTATTCTCCTATTTTTAAATTTTTATTACTATTTATTGTTTTTTTTTTTTTGGGAAAATCTCCTCGAAAACCCGCAATCGCTACCATTCGAGTGTGCACTAGGTAACTTGTTCATTGTGCAATGGCTCGCAAACCACACAGAAAATGTAAAATCGCACTAGCCATGCCCAATAGCTCTCAAACTGCACTGAGTAACTTGCTCACTGTGCAATAGCTTGGAAAACACACAAGAAATGTAAACCGCACTGGCCACGCCCAATAGCTCGCAAACCACATAGGAAATGTAAATTGCACTAGCCATGCCTCGGTGCGACCAGCTCTGACTGAGGAAGCTGCTAGTGAGGGGAATCGCTATCATTCGAGTGCAATGACTCGCAAACCACACAGAAAATGTAAATTGCACTAGCCACGCCCAATAGCTCTCAAACTGCACTGGGTAACTTGCTCACTGCGCAGTAGCTCGGAAAACGCACAGGAAATATAAACCGCACTAGTCACGCCCAATAGCTCGCAAACCACACAGGAAATGTAAACTGCACTAGCCACGCCCGGTGCGACGAACTCTGACTGAGAAAGCTACTAGTGAGGGGAATCGATACCAGATCTTCCATGTGGAAAACCACTCACTCAACCAACTCAGCCAATCCTTACGGGCACATAACCTTATTATCTGCAATTGTTAAAATGCCTTTTTCCATAGCTTCTACTCTTTCATATGTCATCAAGAAAAATATTGAGACTATTCTTTCCTTGAACCGAGGGTCTACTGAAAATAGTCTTTCTACCTCATACGATAGGTATAAGTTTTACATACACATTATTCTCTTCAGATTCTACTTATGCAATTAATTACGCTGGCTATATTTTTATTGTTGTTATTTTATTAGGTGACGCATGATTGTCATGCTAGTAGTATTTTTCTTTAACATATTGTCTCGTATTCGAAACTTACTAGTCAACCAATTTAGATTAACATCATGTAGAGACCATTTAAGAAAGGAAAAAAATTCTTTTTTTATCAGAAACCTCAAATTAAAGGTTAGAATGTCAAAAAAGTATGAGTATTTTTAAGCTATTCGTCCTTTTTAATAATAGTAATCGACGTGTAGGTTAAGCATAATTGTGACAAGTTATCACATCTCACTTTTGGATTGCAATTATGCTGTTCGGAAAGGTGACATGGACCAACTTTCAGGGATAAGAAACATATTACTTTTGTTTAGACATTTGTTAAATATATTAAAATATTTTTTGTAAAATCTTTGCAATTCTTGTAAGGTGCGTGATGATGTTAAAAAGGGTGAAAATGACACCAAATATTTATTTTTAAGTATGTTATTTGAAATATATTCATATTTTATAATATATTTAAAGATTAGCTAATTTCACTCAACTTCAGAGCACAACGTCTTAGAGTTTAAACATCAAAATTCAAATTTCAGAACATTGTGTTTTAAAGTTCGAAAATTGTGTCCTGAAGCTCGAATCTTATTTTCTAGAATTTTAAATTAGTAGTTCAGAAAGTCAGGACACTGTTAGTCCTGAATTTCAAATTAGCAGCTCAAAAATTCAGGACAATAAGTCCTGAAATTTCAAATTCAAGATACTTAGTCCTGAAATTTGGATGAACTGGTTAATCTTTAAATGCAATACAAATTGTAAATATATTTTATATAGCGAGCTTAAAAGTGACTATGCTGCACCAACCACTTAAAAAGGAGAGTTAGCCTAGTTCGTATATGAAGCATTAATGTGGATTTGTTAACTTAAAATTAATACAGTTTACATGCTTTAATAGGTGAAAATGATCTAATGGTGTAAAATTTTCTTAAAGTGACAATAAAATTTGTAATCTTAAAAATAAGATATATGTAGTAGGAACTAATGAGGGAATGTTTTATCTCCTTATGTATTTAATCTTTTGGTATTATCATATAATTAGTAACTGTTCATGCCAAGTTACACATTTCTCAAAGGTTTGTTTAAGATAACATGAAAATCTACTCTGAATTAGAATATTTACTTAAATATAAGAGAAAATTTTGGAAAAAAGAAAGGAAAGCGTAGAGGCAGAGCCACTATTAAAGTTACCTGTTCGATAGAACCTAGTGTTTTGACTCAAATCCTACAATTATATTTAGAATTTCTTTTTATATATATAAAATATTTATCCAGAACTCAATAAGCAAAAATGATTGTGATCTAGAACCTATAAACTAAAATTCCTGATTCCGTCTATGAGTCAACGAGCTTTAAAAGATCATGGGCGAATCTAGAGCAAACGTTACCGGTTTCCGTGAACCCAATAATTTTTGCATAGACCATGTATTTGTACTAAAAAAATCATTAAAAGTATAAGAATATTTAGCTTGGAACCCAATTCATTAGTCCAGTTATCATATAGATTGACTTGAGATTATTATAGAAACTCATATTAAAATTTTTGATCGGCCTCTATAAAAAATAATATATGCAAAGGAAGAGAACACAATAATAGCAAAAGCAAGGATTTTTGAAATATTAGGAAGCAAAAGATAAGAGTTGATAATTTTAAAAACACTAGGATAACATACGTTTCATGTGGTTGGGAAAAGTTTTGATAGCTAACAAGTAACGAAAATGAAAAAGACAAATCTATCTTAGTTGCTGTCAATAAAAGATTTGTCTAATTTTAATAAATCCTTTGAACTTGACAACAACGTTGTTACTGGCTGTTGCTAGATTCTCTAAAGAATTTCAGTTACTTAGATTTTGAGGTTGGCCAATTAAGTTGAGACTTTTGGTTCAATCTTTTCTAGAAAGTATAACTAAAGTATTGTTTTTGTATTTACTTTATATATGCATAAAACATTATAATTTCTGTAGTTTACGATCATTCATTTCAAAATTCAAACCTCGCACTAAAGATTCAGGAAATTACGGTCAATGACCTTAAAATGGATGGTCTTAATTTTTTGATTCCTGCTTGTTGTCCATAGGTAAGCAACGGACAACAGAGAAATACTTGTTAAACTTGAAGTTTTACCTATGGGACAAGCAGGATCAAAAAATCAAGAATGACACCCAAAGTGTTCTATTTGTGCAAATCACCCCCACAAATTGAAATTATAGTCTAATGGCTGTTGTTGTTGCGGACCTAAATAAATTTGTTTAAAAAAGAAAAATTATATCACTTTAATGTGGCTTCGAATCCAAACAAAAACCATTATCTCTTCTGAATTGGCTGGTATTGTGCATCTAAACATGATTGGGCTATAGCTTATAGTATCAACAACAACAACAACAACAACAACCCAGTATAATCTCACTTAGTGGGGTCTGGGGAGGGTAGTGTGTACGCAGACCTTACCCCTACCCTAGAGTAGAGAGACTGTTTCCAAATAGACCCCCGGCATCCTTCCCTCCAAGAACCTCCCACCTTGCTCTTGGGGAGACTCGAACTCACAACCTCTCGGTTGAAAGTGGGGGTTGCTTACCCCTCTTGTCGAAAGTGTATTTCAACTCAAACGGGCAAAGCCCAAAGAGTGTTGGGCCGGAATCAAGTTAAAACCAACTTTCTTGTGGGCTTATTTGTAACACAAGTACACAAAGGTGTACTACTATAATTTGATTGATTCCAGGTGAGTTGGTTTTGACTTTTGAGATAAGGTCCACAATCAAATTTTGGAGAATCCTCTGACAACATTTTTGGAGGATCCGAACAACGTAGTTTCAAATAATCATTTACTGATTTATGACAGCTTTCGCCTTTTCCAAGGCAACCTTCCCTTTCCCTCTAATAAGCAAAATGATGCAACTTTACAACTCTCAATCCATATCAAAAGAACACAAAAGAAATCGGTAAAGGAGGAGACCCTTTATCATAGGCCATAGCAATATCTAATAGATGCCATCTACTTTCTACAAAGAGAGACTATGTCCAAATGATAAGAAGAATTGGATACTAGAGAAAAAACATACACAAAGTTCATATGAAGGAATCCAATACTCTTGGCAGTGGACTCAAAAATATTGATTCAGCTAAAAATGAAAACCAAAATTGCCTCTCGTACTGTACATTTTATCCATTTAATTCTTGATATGTGAACAGAATGTCGGTGGCTGCTTGAAGCCAGATATGTCAAACAACTCCATGAACCTCAGATCTGATACTCTAGCTTTCTCAGCAGCATATCTTTGGTACTCATCAAAAATTGAAGTAAGGCACCACTTCTGTAATTTTCTGAGGCACCCCACAAGACAACCGGTTCGGTGCTGCATAATATACCACAGGATGACAGAAATGGAGGTCAGAGGAATGTTGTGTGATTATTTATATAAGAAAGCTAGAAATTTTAAACAAAGAGAAATGAAGGAATACCTTTCCTCTTTTGCAGTGAATTAACAGAGGGCGGTTCTTTTCATCTACAGAAAGAATCCAGTGAAATTGTAATACACAAATTAGTTATCAAAACTAGTGGACAGAAACCTAAAGCAAGAGAGAAAATAAAATGCAACCTTTCAAACTTACCAAGGACAACCCTCAAAGCTTCTCTTATTGTTTCCTCTGGGATGTTGACCAATGGTGGCTCCTGCATGAGAAATAGTCAAGTACTTATCCACATGAAATTTTTTGCTTCGTATCAACAACTAGAAAGAAATAACTTAACATTCACATACACGGCTTGCATAATCATATGCAAATTCAAAAAATCTGCAAACAAGACATAGCACAATGTTCATATATGCTGCTACTAACGTTTCTACTACGTGTACCTTCCGGTGTAGACTGCAACCATAACAATACTCCGTCAAAATTCCAAACCATCTCCATAATGGATATATATCTTTTCACTTAACCAAGAGCTTCAAATATCCAGATAAGTTGTGGTATAGTTGTTACAGGACAAGAATAGACAAGGACGTTTAACTACTCGAAGCCTCAGTTTAGGAGACAGAGATAGACCAAAAAGGGTAGAGTAGCTTTGTCCAGCATTCAGACAGCAGAGAGAACTCATAGCTAGCATATGATAATTAAAAACCAAAAGCATAGAAGAGGGTATGACAAATACGAAAGATTTCAAGTTTGATAGGCAACGATTCAACTTCCTCTAAGGCTACTCAAGATAAGAAGGTAATAAAAGAAAAACAGTCATAACACATAAGACTTGATTAGGAGATATATGTCAAATAACATTATAGATATTTTTTTTTTGTCGTATCTATCATTATAGATATGACAAACTAACAGTAATAAACTTGAGAACCCTACAGAATCGTCCTTTTTTCTCCTCAGTCAATCATCTAGTTATCTTCCTGTTTAACAATCCAATTAGTTGGGATAAGAAAATTTTGGAGAGTCCTACAGCTAATATGACCTGCTACTGGTGAATTCGAAAAGAACACAATCACATATTGTATATTGCTAGTGGATGAATTTCTTTCTCTACTACGCAACAGTTGAAGATTTTCTCCAAGGAAGTGCAAAGCTCCAACAGGACAACTACTACAATAAACACCTAATCTCACTTAGAATTGGACAATTTTTCTTGAGTATTATGGGAATCCACAAGAAACTCCCTACCTCCTCTCTTGAGTTAGGAATTATTTTGGTTGCAGCATTACCTGTATTGTAATATTACCGGAACCAGGGCAATATTTCACAAACTGAAGAGCTAAAGCCAATCATAGTATAATTCAATTGACTTTTGTAATTCCCTTGATACAATTACGCATTATGGCTAGGTTCATGCATCAAGAACAGAGGAAAGCTAAAATCTAGTGAAAAAATATAAGGAAAACAAAATAAGTGCTAAGAATGATCAAGTAGCACTAGTTGCAGCGGGCCCTTATGAAGTATGAACTGCGATGAGTAATGGTGAGTGGTAGTTGAGAAGAAAGCAGTAGTAGGAAGTTGTAGCTATACTCGCATTTTGTTGTAAAAGCAGAGTGCAATTTAAGAGGAGAGGAATTTTAAGTAACTAGATCCTTGAGAGAAACATAGAATAAAAAATACAACATGAAGCTACAGGTGAAAAGCTTCTGTGGTGAAAGACTTTAAACATATTATAGGTTTCGAGCTATCTGAAAAAACAGACACATCACA